GTTTGGCACAACAAAAGCTTTGTGAGATAAAAATATAGCAAACTTTCAAGTTTGCAAGAGTTAAAAATTCATAGTTTTCCTGTCAGTTTCACAGTAACTGAATAAATATCAAATTGGAATGCACAATGCAATCACAGATATGATTGACATTTTTAACTCGAACAGTAAAATGTCTTGGACTTTAGGGGAAATAAGGGACGTGGGGATCAAGCAGGAAAGTAGAGTTAAGATCTAAGACAAACCAATATTTGCAGCCCAATGTAGTTAACTCATTCAGAAGGAATCTGGATCCACAACGAAATCACTGCAACTTGCAAGGCTATGGGCCAGGTGCTGGGACGTGGAATTCAAATGGCTAGTTGGTTTATTCAGCTGACGCAGAAATGATAGACCAAATGACTTCTCTGTGCTTAATTTTTCAATGGTTTTACGGCTTCTATCTGACTATCTTACCAAATGGCAGAGGGTGGGGGTTCATATCAAATCCGGGGGAGCTCAGGTCTGGTGAGAGGGCAGGGGTGTTGGGTGAAGTGGGATCAGGGTGGCGGACGGTGGTCCAGAGTGGAAGTAGGGATAGCTGGGTCTGAAGTGATAGGTGGGATTGAAGGGAGATTATGGGGACCAAATTGGAGAAGGGATGCAGTTTGATGTGGATCAGGGGTGGTGGCTAGATTGGTTCTGGCAGCGGGTGAAGTGAGGCTGGGGAGAGGTCATTGTCAGGTCTGGCAGTAGGGCATGGATGTTGGGTCCTAGGGGATTATTCTTGCATCCTGGGCATGGAGGGGAAGGGTGTGTTGGGTCCGAGTGTCAGGGTCTGATTGCAGGGGTGCAGTGTTCTGGGTTGAGAGGGGGTATAAAGTTGGCTTCTGGGGAACATATAGTAGGGGAGTGGGAGGTAAGTTGGCATTGCAGCTTAATAGTTACTCCTGAGTTTGACTAAATATTTAATAATTTCCTGACTAACTGTTTACCTTAATCCAGTGGAATCTTCCCATTTAAATGGATGCTCTCAGAGGGTTCCAAGCAGAGAGAAATTTTTGATATTTAATTTCCCAAGTAATTCTTTTGAAGCCTGCTATGATGGGGACGTCACAGAGTTACTGTGCACAATTTCAATCCATGCTTCAGAAACAGCAATCTGACCATCGTAGGATCTGGGCCATAATGTTTTAATAAATCCCTTTCTAAAACTTCAGAGAGATAACCAAATTTCCTCCAGAGGGAGCATTCATGACATTATAAAAGACAGTTTCACAGATTCATAGAATCCCTACAGTGTGGGAACAGGCCCTTTGGCCCAACAAGTCCACACCAAT